AAATAAAATAAAATAAAATAAAATAACATATATATATAATAAAATAAAATATTATATATATATACATCATAAGCCATCTATATATATATATATTCGAAATGGGCTGGACAGTGACGAACTGGGCTGGTGATGATTATTGATCTCAAATTAGCCTCCGCCAGAACCATACTTCTTTCCAAACACAATCAGCTGGAGCTTGTCGTAACCCGCAAGCACACCCGCACCAGCAATCGCACGGAGAATGTTAGCACCGGCACCCTTGAATAGAGATTTGGCACCCTCATTCTTAAGGATTTGAGAGAAAGCATCGATCGAACTCTTGTACTTCACAGCTTCACCAGATGTCATCATCATTCTTCTGCGGACTGTGTCAATTGGGTAGGAGGCCAGACCAGCACCATTTGTAATGACCCATCCAAGAGCAAAGCTAGCAAAGAAACTATCCTGAAATCATCAAAACACAAATGTCAGTGAACCAATAGCAGAAATGCCCATGTAATGTATAGAACAAAATTTCCACGTCACTCAAACAAACACAACTTCAGGATTAAGGGATTTTTTTTTTCCTCATCACTGATGAAATAGTAGAAAACTCAACAGCTGGACAGTGACGAACTGGGCTGGTGATAGCGCCAGCTGGTGGCGCTTTGGGTCGCAGCACCAGTGGTGTCCGGAGTCACGGCGTGAGCAGTGGGCGATACCGCATGGGTCAGACGCGAAGCGTGCAGGCCGCGCGAGTTAGGGTGGTCGCGCAGGGGACAGTGCCTTGAGTGACTCTTTCGCAGGCCGACGGCGGTGCCTGGGCTAGGACGACGGGCGACGTGCAAGCAGTGGTGGTCTTCGGTGGCTGTGGGAGCAAAAACCGAGATCCAGTATGCCCGAATCTCTGAGAACGCTAAGCTGAAGTGAAGCAGCAATGGTGAGTAGCAACTTAGATCACACGTCTGCGGCGATCGCGACGCGGGGACTGGTCGGTGGCTGGGTCATGACGCTGGGATAGGTCGGTGACTGGGTCGCGACGTCTGCGGCAGCCGGAGCTGGGACAGGTCAGTGGTGTTGGTCGGGGCTGTGATGGCAGTCAGTGTGCACACTTTTAGCCTTTGGTTTGTTGAAGAAACAAGGCTACCTGGTGTGGTCTCTCGGTTTAGAAAAAAAAAAAAAGAAAAGAAGGATTGAAGATGATCTAAACCTGGGTGATTTATATCATTTACTGATTGTGATTCGAACTGCTGGTAGCTTTACTACTTTTATCCCAAAGATTTGCCATTCATGCATTAAGATGATGCAACTAACCCATAGTAGCTTGGAAAAACATGACTTTCTTCTCCTAAATCTGTATGTATGTTGGATTTTGGAGCCGATATTAAGGCTTATTTTGAGAAGTTACAATTTTAACCAAAAAGTTAAAAAAAAAAAAAAATTGCACGTCTTCTTGTAAAAATTCAGTAAAAAAACTGATTCCCTAAAAGTAAAAAAGGCGAGAAGTTGGAACATGAACTCATTGTTATTAGTAAGGAATGGTACTTGAGCTATGTGTTCAATTTCAAAACTTTTGGAATATAATAGCCTCAAATTCTATTCTTTCGGGATAAAAAATAACAATAATAATATGAACAATACATGCGAAAGTTCACATTGAACCAAATAATCATTCGATGATTATACAAATAAAAGAGGAGCAATAGATAGATGTGAAGATTCACATTAATTCTAATATATTTGTGCATAGATCATACACCTAATTAATAGATAATGTGAATATTAACATTTGTAGTCAACCACAGTTTGATGTGAATATTCACAATGCAATAAATAGACGTGAAGATTCACGTTTATTCTAATATGATCATACATGTAATTAATGTATAATGTGAATATTAACATCTATAGTCAACCACAGTAAACATAGGACATAATTTGAACATTCACATTTATTGAACATAAATTACGATGTGAACATTCACACAAACTTCAATATAAGAAAACAGATGTGAATGTTCACAATTTATATTGCTTAGCACACACAACACACCAACACCACATATACCATCAAAACACATAGGTCTGTGAGAAGTATACCATTGATTTATATATATGTTGTCAAGTGTTTTCAACTACAAGTTATCAAAATTATCAACAAAAAAAAAAAGAAAAAAAAAAAACTAGCACTGTATTTTGGTATAGCTAGTCTATGGTGGACAACTCCAACCATCAAACAACGGAGTTTGCCTCAAATAGTCGAGCTGAGGATCCTAGAACTTGGTGCTTGTCATCAATTTTACTAAGCCTGTAATATTTGATTGATAATTGACATGTCGCATGTCGATATGGGTGTTACTCTCTAGAGGCATGCTCTCTTCTTTGACATGATACTTCTTCTTCTTCCTCTTTGTGCAAAATTTAGATACAACATCTGTTACATAGGCATGCACAAATAGTGAGTGTTTATATGAACATTAAATTTGATTTCAATAGAATTGGTAGGATAGGCATGCACATTGACATTAGCACATCATTAGTCAGTGTGGATATTCACATTCAATGATATTCATATAAGCAAAAGCAACAAAGTATTATTTATGTGACAAACATAATAATGTGAACATTCACATCATTAAAGATGTGAATATTCACATTACTGATAGGTACAAATAGGAGTGAGACAATACCAATATATGTTGATTTTTCATATTGACACAAACAAAATTTCACAACATAAAGGAAACAACACATGTGAAATGGCTAGCCTTAGAATATGAATGTTCACATTGATTGTTACACAAACATTTGAGACTACGAAACTAAGAATAAAGCAGATAATCAACAAACACCATAATGTAAATTTATAAAATGGCTAGCCTCAGAATGTGAATGTTCACACTGATTGTTACTCAATAACAAGAGAAACAATAAGATGTTATTATTTACAGCATGCCTACAAGAATTCACATTGAACTAAGACAACGTTGACAACCATCCAAAATTAAGGTTGTAATTATTTGATCACCATGAATTACCAACAACACCAACAAGTCCGACATTGACATAAGGAGGGAGATACAATATACATCATAATGTAAATTTATAAAATGGCTACCCTCAGAATGTGAATGTTCACATTGGTTGTTACTCAATAATAAGAAAAATAATAAGATGTTATTATTTACAACATACCTATAAGAATTCACATTGAACTAAAATAGGGTTGGCAACCAAAAAAATTGGGCATCAACTCCAACAAAAACAACAATTACAGAAAAATTGAAAAAATAATAACAATAATATGAACAACACATGCGAAAGTTCACATTGAACCAAATAATCACTCGATGATTATACAAACAAAAGAAGAAAAAATATGGTGGCTCACTCTGTTTTCTTGGAAAGAGATAAAGTCAAAATGGGTGATTCACATCAACATCAACAAAAACAACAATCACAGAAAAATTGAAAAAACAACAACAATAATATGAACAATACATGTGAAGGTTCACATTGAATCAAATAATCATTCAATGATTATGCAAACAAAAGAAGAAAAAATATGGTGACTTACTCTGTTTTCTGAAAAGAAATAAATGGTCAAAATGGATGATTCACATCAACACCAACAAAAACAACAATCATAGAAAAATTGAAAAAACAACAATAATAATATGAACAATACATGTGAAAGTTCACATTGAACCAAATAATCATTCGATGATTATACAAATAAAAGAGGAAAAAAATATGGGCGTTCACTCTGTTTTCTAGAAAGAGAAAATGGTCAAAAATGGGTGATTCACATCAACACCAACAAAATCAACAATTACAGAAAAATTTGAAAAACAACAACAATAATATAAACAACACATGTGAAAGTTTATATTAAATCAAATATTCATTCGATGATTATACAAACAAAAGAGGAAAAAAATATGGGCGCTTACATTTGGTCCACATCTAGTCGGTCGATGTAAACTTTTACAGAGTTGATTTTTCACTTCGGAGTAGGGTTTCAATCGCCGACAACGACGTGACAATGGTGGGATGCAGAGATGATGAGAATCGCGATGGAGGATTCAAACGATGAGACGATGAGAATTGGTATGGAAATGAAAATTTTCTGAAAGCCATGCCATATATTTTGCGATTTGCTCATATGTTTTTGTGCTGTGACGTTTTGAATGTAATTAAATGCTCAAAAATGTGTAGGGGTGTTTTGGACAAATTGCTAGGTATGAGACTTATTGGAATAGTCAAAAACGTTTTGGGCTAGATAGAACAAAATACTTAGAAAGATGATTTATCAAAAAAGCTCCTAAAAAAAAAAAGTATCATATTACAAATTAAAAAAAAAGGACTTTTAAAACAATAATTTACATTTTTTACCAATATATTTTATTAATTATATATTTATAATTAAAACAAATCAATCATTAGATCTATTAATGTCATATGTACTGATAAAAATAGACTTTCACTATTTTTTATTTTTATATTTTTTTTGCATGTGCGATAATAATCTTCATGAAATAGTATTGTCACATTTGTTAAAAAGATAAAGACAATACAGCAAAACCTTATCCAAGCTGCGCTTGGTGGCTCTGACCTGTCTTGGACAGCACCATGTGCGGCTGTCCATTCCATAAGCACTGACGCATTTATAGGCATCGTTTGGATATGTAGTTTTTTAGTTTTTTAGTTAAAAATATTAAAATATTAAAAAATAACTCATATATATTAGTCATTTATATTTTTTTATACGATTAAAAAAATATTATTTTTAAGCATATTAATTTTATTTTATTTTTTTGCTGAAAAAGCTTTTAAAAAATCAATTTCTAAATGAAATCTTAATTTTTATTGATTTATCTTTTCTTTTTCTTTTTTTCAATCATAATAAATAAATGCGTTAGTGGGGTTAGATATTTGTAGCAAGAAGGAAACAAAAGCCTGGTTTCAGAATATGCTTTTTTAGTAACTTTTTGATTAAAATATAATATAAAAAAAAATAGTATGTTTGGGATAATTTTTTGACTTTTTACAAAAAATTATGCAAAAAAGTAGATAGAAAATAAAATCTTTCACTTTTTAGTATGAGTCATTGACTTTTTAATTTTTTTAATAATTTTTTGACTTTTTAACTAAAATATACACTTACCAAACGAGGCCTTATCACTTTTTAAAGACAACTTAACAAATGTCACGACATAAAAAAAATTTGAAACATTGCTCTGAGTCCACCAATTAACTTTTGCATACTCCCAACCGATATGTGGTCGACAACTTGCAATATGCTGCCTTGTAACCATATTAATCATTCATTATTTAATCGTCATATTTGTATTGTTTGAATAAATTATCAATTTCTTGGTCATGTATTATTTGTCACATTTTGAATATCTTTGGATTATGAGGGATAATCTATGTCATATTTATTTGGAATTACTAGCCATTAACTATAAAGGTAATGACATAGTTTGAGAATATTTTATCTTTTTTAATTCGTTATTTTGTATTCAACTTCTTGTGAAACTCAATAATTTCTCAGATAAGTACTAAAAAAAAACTATCGATGTAGAAGTACACTTTTACATCCAAACATAAAATTCGAAATGGATTAGATCATAGCCCTAATTTTCCAAAGAAACAAAATCAATATGAATGCTTAGAAAGCAATGTCTAGGTACAAAACTTCCACACACAAAAAGGGTACTATCGTATGTTTAGTGATAGCCACAAGCTCTGAGTCAACAATAGACACCATCTCCCTATTCATGGCTTGACAGTGCATATTTGTCATAATAATTACAGGTAAAAAAAGGCTGTGTGGTTTGAATGTTCTTCGACCCATGCACTTCACATGCATGCATGCACGTCTCTTTAAGTAAAATTCACTTGTTTTTTAATTTACACTACCTTCATATCCACAAGTGTGTGAGTCCTACCAAACAATGTGTAGAGCTTTCCTTTGTGATAATTTTAGGAGGATATTAACAAAGTTTGACTTGGCTTGTATACATGAGAGAATTGAGATTACTCAAACATATTCATTTACTTGAAGTAATTAAACTCCTTAAAAAAAATAATAATAATAAAAAAAAGACACTCAGGCCAAATATTCATTTTTAAAACTGTTGGGGCCTATCGGCTCAAACTTAAATATTTTTTAGCCAAAATGACATTATTTGTTTAAAAAAACGCTTATCTATTCAAATTTTAACTATGGCTCCATTTGGAAATAAGTTATTTTAGTTAGTTATTTGATTATTTTAGCCGGGCTAAAAAAGTTTTGTTTAGGATGATAGATGGCTTTTTTTTTTTTATAATTGATTTGATTTACAAAAATTGAAATAATTATGATTTCGATGTGATATTTTGTCTTATTAACTGCTTTAGCCTATTTTGTTTTTATTAGCTATTTTAGCCTAAATACAACTTCCTAGATAGGGCCATGTCTATATGTTAAATGTCACTTATATGTTCAAAAGTCACTTATATGTCTAACTATTTGTTCAAATGTTTAACTATATGTTCAAATGTTCACCAAATTGTACACGTGTCACTTATCTATTAAATAACACCTATCTGTCCATCTCACCGACACCAACTGCCACCACCAGCCAGCAGTGGCGAAGCCAGAAAAATAGTTTAGAAGAGGCACTTATTAATTAAAATTTTGAATTTTTTTTTTCCTAATAATCAATAACAATAGATAATAATTTTTAAATTAATATTACAAAATCTTAAATATTTAATATAAAATTTTAAAAAATTTTGTTTTTACAATTGACCTTGTAAAAAATCAGAATTGGAAATATATGGTGTTACTCGTAACTAGTGTATTATAGGCAATGAAAAAGAGTCTTATATGTCTTATAATAGATTATATAATAATATATAAATAATAGTGATACCACATTATCATCGATATATGATATTACTAGTCAATAGTAAAATAACATATGGAAGGCCAATCACACATGTTAAATATAATTAACAATTCAATAATTTCTCATTTTCGTAGTGGGATTAACTATGTTTACATGTAAATGATAATTTGATATCACTGTTGCACTAAATTTTTTTAATAATGTGGTTTGTTGTAGTTTTTTCATTTTTAGTCAAAACAACCATCATTATTTTTGTAATTTGAAAAATGTCATTAAGAAATCATTCATGTTATTTCTATATAAATTTTTTATTCGTTAATTATTTTCCTTATATGCAAAAAAAATATAAAATAAAAAAATTGCAAAACCTGAGAGGGGGCATGTGCCCCCCAGTCCCTTCATAGCTCCGCCATTGATCGCCAATCACCAACGATTTTCCGGCAACTTCTCAATAGGGGTGGGCACGGGTCGGTTGCGGCCAAAGAACCTCCAATCCATCATCCGTCCGCCAGATTGGCAGATTGGAGAAAATCAATCTGCATCCGTCCGCCAATCCGGCAGATGCGGATTGAGCGAATTGGCAGTTTGGCGGATGAATGCGAATCGGTTTGGCGGTTTGAAATTTTATAAATTTTCAACATAGTTCAACTTGTGTACTTCCTCAAAAAAAAAAAAAAAAAAATTACAATCAATGACTTAAAAAAGTATTACAATTACTGTATGCCTCATTCAAAGAAAGAAAGTTTGAAACTTTAGATTATCACAATCACCGCATGTCTCATCCACATATTACAATCACAGCATGTCTCATCCACATAAAGTATTACAATCTGTGGTTCTTAAAATATAAAAACAATTCAAACTACCAAAACCATGAACAAAGCAATAGTAGAGATTGTATGTCTCTGTATTGTAACATTTATATATGTTTTTGAAAACAAAAACCAACCAGCATATATCATATTTGCTATTTATTACTTTTAGAGCTAGATTTAAAATAAATAATACGTTTATTTTTTTCAATTCAAAAAATATGTTAAAGTTGAAAACTTTTTTTCAACAAAATATTTGAACTCTTTTTCAATTGAAAACACAAACAAAATATTTAAACAAATTAAAAATATAAAATCTTATAAATTACTAAGGGTGCTCGCGGTTTGGCGGTTCAGTTGCAGACAAATGAACCTTAAATCCGCCATCCGTCCGCCAAATTGGCGGATTGGAGAAAATCAATCCGCAACCGTCCGCTCGTCATCATGCATCAGAAAATCAATTCTCAATGTGTCTTTATGCTACTTTAGTTAGTTTTTTTGGTTATTTTAGTTTAGTTAAACAAGTTGTGTTTAGGAAGATTGTTATTTATTTATTTATTCAGTTTTATAGTTGATTTGATAGTTGTGAGAGAAAAAATGAAATAATTATAAGTTGAATATGACATTTTACCTTATTGACTATTTTTACATATTTTATCTTTATTGATTATTTTAGCCAAATAGCCTTTGGCCAAACTAGGCCTAAATTTGAAATTAAATAACATATGGTCCCATAAGAATAAACTTTTCACCAATTAACAACCCCTCAAAAAAAAAACAAAAAAACAAAATAAATAAATAAATAAAGAGATTTTTTTTAACTAATATTTCTTCTCATTTTACAATCCAACCCAAATTTTAGAATAAAAAAATTAGCTTCTTTTAGTTCATTTTATTTTCTTATTTGTTCCTTTTATTACTCGACAACTATGGGTTAATTGGTAATAAAAGGAAAAAACTAATTCAAAGTACAATTTATATTTTCAAAGCAGAAAAAACTAATAAAATATGAAGTTTGTTTGGTATCGTTGCAATTTTTTTTTTTTTTTATTGAAAACATGAAACATTTTTTCAAAACAAATAAAAATAAAAAAGATAAATTATAAATACATCTCTCGAGATTTGCTTAAAATACGAATTGTCCCTTGTAGTTTGAAAAATTACAAATATCTCCGTGTCATAATTTTTTATTTAACAGAATTAATTAAAAAAGTGAAATTTCTAACTGTTCACCTATACAATAATAAAATTATCTGAATTATTAATTGAAATAAAATTTTAACATTATTAAAAACTGTTAATTAACTTAATGATTTATTAGTGAAAGAACCTATTTGTTATGAAATTAGAAATCTTAGGGAGCATAATATAATTTCTAGAACTACAGAAGATAATTGTAATTTAAGTAAATCTCAAAGGTGTGTTTGTAATTTACCCAAATAAAAATGAAGAGACATGTTTGCTTAGTTGTC